ATAATTCCATGAAACCATCTGGATCTAAAGGGAGAAATTCAAGCTTTTCAAAATTTCGACGGATTCTCCATAAAAACTGCGTTTTAAAAATAGGATTTTGTGTAGCTTCAGGTATTTAAGCAAAATTCTATTTTGGATAATACTCGTACCAATCAAAATCTTCAATAATGCATTCTTCTTATGCAAAGTCGCCATTTTGGTCGATCCATTTCTAAATGAAAGGCGGTAGCGGTTTCACTATACTCATCTCATAACAGCTTTCCCGACAAGCCCTTTGTAACTTCGGGAAGCGTTTGACTTTTTCGAAGAGGCAGACTTGCCGTCTAGACATATCTGCTTACGAACTGGGGAATGGATGGTAAATATCGCAAGGAATACGCAATCCGCTAAGCGGAGATCTGCAAAGCGGAGGTGACACCGACAGGTGACAGCCGACCGGTGATGGGACCGTAATATTCGTTGACAAATACCGTGAACCACTGAAGGTAGCCTAAAGGCTAAACAGCGCTGGAAAAGATCAATGATGAACGAGGGCGTCAGTAATCTCCACTATAAGGCTTTCTGTGGAACGTAGCGGCAAAATGGTATGACACTGACATTGTAAAACTGCCACTGCATTGTCGTCTGTCCATATCGAAAATTTCTGAAGAAAAACCAGGACGAAAGAGAACGAGTTCTTACAGTAGGGAATATTATCGCATTTAGGGATCCCAGAGAAACATAAAACATATTATGGGCAGTTTCAGCTGAAAGATTGTACCTGACCACAGCTGATTATACTGATGAGTAAATCTTCAGTTTCTCGTCGAATTTTGTCTTTTATCAACATGGAATTGTTCAATCCCTGCATTCAACTCCCAGACGAAATCGTAGCGTTCATATGCGAGTCATTCATAGAGGCCTTCAGTTGGTAGACGCCTTACCATTTGCGTGCAGCAGTGTGGCGCAGTGGAAGCGTGCTGGGCCCATAACCCAGAGGTTGATGGCTCGAAACCACTCGCCGCTATCGTTTTCCTGCATAGAAATTAGAACACTCAATGAAGGTTTTATGAAGTAAGTAAGAGTTTATAAAGACAAACCAAGCAATCCATCCATAGCAAATGTGGCTGACACACTGCGCGCTCCAGTCATGCAGCGCGTTTTTACTATACGCTGCGAGTGCGGCGAGCGTGACGCGACGCGAGGATTACCCACATCCGTCCGAGGACATATACATTGTAGGGTGCAGTTGAATCGGAATGGTGGCTCCGCGGCGAGAGCGAAGTCGCGCACGAAGGAATTTAGCAGAATGAAGCAGAAGCAGCGCAGCGAGTAAGGGACACAGGAGCAAAAGTAGTAACAGTAGAATCATGCCAAAACTAATAATCGATTTGGCTGTATGAAGAATGCTAGAACTGCAATCAGAGGCAATTCGCCCGCGATTGAGGTGTGCGACGAATGGATTACAGAAATCGATTCAACTGCCCGTCCCTTATCGACTGACTATTGCTGCCTTATTAAACAGTAAAGACTATCACGGACAAGGCTCTGGAATGATAATTCTGAATCCTAGTGAACTTCCAAAGTGCTACTGCTTCAGTAGGGAGATGGGCAGTTGAATCGGTTTTCTGTAATAGATTCGTCGCACGCCTCAGTCCCGGACGAGTTGCTTCTTTATTGCAGTTCCTGCATCCTCATACAACAAGGTTGGGTGTGGTGCAGTACGATCGAAACTGTCGCGTCGCGGCGAGGGAAACCCGCGCGCGAACGAGTGTAGCAAAATGCAGCAGCAAGTAAGAAATACAGGAATAAAAGAACTAGTATCAGAATCATGCCGAAAATAATAATCGCATATCGATTGAGCTGTATGAAGTACGCTGGAACTGTAATAACGAGGCAAATGGTCCGCGACTGCCGCGCGCGTCGGATCGATTACACAAAACCGATCCTTCTGCCCGTCTCCCATCTAGGTCAATATGCGATTATTATTTTTGGCATGATCCTACAGCTACTGCTTTTGCTCCTGTACTCCTCGATAGCTTCGCCGCTTACGCTTCACCCTGTTTCATCCCTTCGGGCGCGACGTCGCTCACGCCGCGAGCGACCATTTCGATTTAACTGCTCCTTATCCTCAATAGATAAACAGGTGTGTGAAGCTCGGCAGTCAGTTGCATAACCACTTCATTCTCGATATGGCTCAATTAGCCCTTTGCACCATTGCTCATGCTGCTGCATTGCCGTTCCCTTCATTGCTCGAGGCGGACTACAAAAGAAACTTAACGTGTGATAAAAGGATCGAGGATGAAGTCTTCGGGAGTTGATCAGTCCCGTCTGGGAAACGTGCCTCCACATTACTTCCATTCAGAATCGCAGTGGCGTTTTTAATGGCCAGCCGATGTACAAGTCAGCGCTTTTATCGTTCTAGACGGGTCTGGTACCAATTAACCGACCCCGGATTGATGGAGGCTTAATTGGCCCAGGCGGATATCGATCTGAGATTCGAGCCCGTGACTATGCGTGTGTGACGACACCTCTTGCCACTACACCACCTCTTCCGTATCGTGTGATTATTTACTGCGAAAGCTTGTTTGCTTAAGGCACCCACTAGGAAATTGACTGAAAGTCGGTGATCATAGACACTAATCCTTAAAAAGAAAACAAGTATACCTCCTAGTTTACAGCTTCGTCAGTGTATTTGTTTATGAATGGTAGCAAATATTTGGGGGTGCGCAGGCAGGGTGGAAAGAATTCCACGACGGTACAATTTAATAAAAAAAATGGCAGGAAACCTTTACGGATCGAACCATAATCCCTCTGTTTTCATTGATCGTGAAATAACGCGTACTAGTAGTAGGAGCAACAGTGAGGGTCCGGTGATTGATTAGATTCGCAATGATTCTTCAGTTTTTATGATATTGATGGTTCCTCAAGGGTTATGCGGCGCAAAATTGATTACTGTGAGAAATTACCGTACCACCGGCTGCCATTCAAATTACTTTCCCGCGCGCGAACATTTGAACGCTTGGTGAACTGCTATTGGAGCACATTGGCCCGTATGCACAACTCCCGGGGTAGGGGAGGGGGAGG